TTTCTTGCGAGTTTTTTTTATTTATAATTTGGATAATGAAGTTTTAGACTTTATTTAATTTTTTAATAAGAAATTAAAGAATTTTTTTTTCATTTCTTATTTTATTCGCAACTTTTTCTTATTATTATTTTTATTTTGACTTTTTAAATATTATTTGTAGCTTGTTTCGTAACTCCTTAAGTTTGTTTATTCAGTTTTTACAATAATTTATTAAATTTACTATTATTTATTTCTTTAAAATTTTTGAATTTATTTTTTTTTATGTTTAAATCATATTTATATTTTGAAATTTTTAAAAACAAAATTTAAATTTCTTTGGCATATTTTAATGAAAAAATCTAAAAAAAAAAGGCACGTCTTACTTTTGACCTTTCTTTTTATTATTTATAAAATTTTATATATTTTTCTCCTCTCAACTTTGTTAAGTAAATTTTATATTTCATCTTATTTTAATTTAAATTTTATGATGTACCTTTATTGATTTTTGAATTTTCTAATTAAAATTCCATAGACCTATATTCTTTGTGTATTTATCTTCATTATAATTTTTAACTTTAAAAAAATTATTAAAGATAATAAATTATTATTATTTCTGTTTACGTAAGTTTTAAATTTATATTTTTTAATTGATTAAATAATTATAAATTTCATTTTAATGTAAAATAGTTAATTATATTAGAAAATTTTATATTAAACATAGTTTATATTTAATTTTTCAAATTTGTTTTAATGCACGTGTTAATAATTTATATACCGTAATTAATTTTTCAAATTTTCATTAAAAAATTAAAGAAATCTGTAAAAAGAATAAGAGATAACATTTCAGGAAAATTATGTTTACTATACAAAAACTATTAATTTATAATTGTTTAAATTTAAATACAGTCGACCCCCTATAACACTGTTGATAATTCCGTTTTATATGAATTTCATGTTGTACGAGTCACGTATATTTTACAAATACGTGAGTCGTTCACAGCCCGGCACACGTATTTGTAAAATCTAAGTGACTCGTACAACATGGAATTCATATAAAACGGAATTATCAACAGTGTTATAGGGGGTCGACTGTATTTTTATTACAAATAAAAATTGTCTACTTGTTTATTATTATTATTTGATTTTATAAATAAAGCATACAAATAAATATCAGACATAATTAATACATTAAAAAATTAACATTAATACAATATACAACAATAATAATTTAATATTAACTAATTAAAAAAATTAAAATTAATTCATGAAATATAGAGAGAATATAATGCTTTACATTGTTAATACAGGTTGGATTAATTGACTTTTTCTCACAATACAGGACGGTTAAATGGTTAGAATATTTTTTAAAAAAGACTGAACAACAGAAATATCTAATTTTTCGTCAATTAGTTACAGAAATATAGAAGAAAATGCATTATTTTTTATTTATAGGCCTAGGATAAATTTCTGTAAAAAGAAAAAAACCATATCTCTAATTAATGTGAGACTATTCAGACTATTCATCTTATTAACTGTACAGAAAATATTCATAAGAATCATTTATTCATATACAAAGTAGTTTCTTTAGACTACAATGCTTAAAACAGTTCTTATAAATAAAATAGAAAAAACCAAGAAAAATAGGAATAAACAGAATAAGTTAATGTATATAAACAAACAAATTAAAATAAATTATTTCTTATAATATTTTATTTAAAAAAATGATTTATAAAAACATCATACAGCAGTTTTCCAGCATTTTCCACTGGAGTGTCTACTCGAAGTATTTAAAGGAAAGACGATATATAGATTTTTATATCATGCTACTATATCAATATAATCGAACAAAACGAGAAATAAAAAAAAAACTTCATTCAATCACCGCCATAATTGATGAAATAAGACAAAATGTGTTATTAATTGAATGTGAGATACAATTTTTTTACATTTCGATTAAAGTTTAAGAATTATTTATTTAATTTAATTGCAAAATTTTAGTAAATTGTAAGTATAGTGTCTTATCAGGCTTATGATTTTAAAAAATAAACTAATTTTATAATAATAAATATTTAATTAATTCTATACAGTTTCTACACTTGATACATGATATTAAAATTAATTAATCAAACTACAACAGAGATTTTTTTTCTAAAATAAAGAATGAATTAAACTACAAAAGAGATTAATAATTCACCTTATAGAATATTCAAAATTCAAGAAATTTTCTTGGAACAAGATTGTCAATCCAATAACTAAAAATTTGAAGTTAAAGAATGCAAAAGCACAGCCCATTTCAATTTTATTTCCCTACTATCATGACTTTACACGGTTATATGGCAATAAAATGCTATTTCATTTTCACCATTAATTTTAAATTTAAAAGAATTGTATGTAAAGTTTATTTGTGTGATGTCCTCGTTTGAATAACTTAATATTAAGAATCAACCTTTATCATTATACTAAGAAATCGTATGTCAGTAGTTTATTGACTAACAAAATCATAGAGCATGCGATCTTCCACAGATGGTTTCGTCATGAATTATTCCTTACCTATTGGTCTTTTATACTTTTACTTGATTAAATTTTGTTTCTGATTCAAAATGGAATATTTATATTATTCATTTCAACATTGTTTAAAATAAACTTTTTTTCATATACTATATATATATTACGTTTATGATAATTGTTTTTATATAATTATACCAAGTTTAAAAGCGGTTAAAATCGATCATTTAATGCATTAATTTGTAACGTTTATAATGCTATATGAAGCTCTTTCGGATCAAATCTTATTAAATTTTTTGTTGTCATTAAGTAAGCTACCATTTATTAACAGATACATGTAAGATTTATTTTCAATTTTAATCAGTAATTCTACAGCTATTTATTTTAATATCGTCTATATAATTTAAGTTAGATAAGAATAACTATTCGATTAGATAATTTATTTAAAAACAGTTTATTAGGGGTAGAAAGCGAGAAAGAAATATTATTATTACTTAAAAATTTATATAATATTAATTGTATTAAATTTATTATTTAGTATGAAAATATATAATATAGCTAAATAAATTAGAAATACTGTATATATTTATTAATAATTTTAATAAATTAATCTAATCATTTTAGTTGTAAAAAACTTTTTCATTTATTAAATTTTTTAAATATTATTGTATGAAAAATGGATTATATATTTAAGCTGATTAAACTGAATTTTACTTTCCTGATGTTTACATAAGATAGAAAGTTCTGGATTTGTTTTTACAGAAATGATTACTATCGTGCTTAAAATATGAAATATATATATAAAAACGAATTTTTAAACTTTTTTAATGTATAATATTTTATAAAAATGCTAATTACATACGAATATGTGCAAAAATACTAAGTATATACCTTCGTTTATGTATTATCTTTGAAGTTTTAATATTAAAGTAACATATAATAGGATATAAAATGCATTTTTCGCAAAAAAGTGTATCAAAAATATGAAAACTTTGGAAACTTAAAACCAAAATTCGACTTTAGATTTCTTTTGATAAAACAAGAACTAAATCCACATAATTCACAGAATCGATATTATAGAGTAGAATTTCGGATGGTTATTCTTTTATTAACTTTATTTATGGCTTTTTTAGGTAGCCATATCGATCTATCTAGACATATTTTAGCAGAATTTACCCGTTCCGTTATGGAATTTCTTTTATTAATCTTTAACCTATTCATTCTTTTCTTTTATTATTGGATTAATAATGCGGTAATGAAGACCTTTAATTGTTAAGTCATTAAGAAACATAACCTATTAAAAACGCCCATTGAAAAAAGTAGTGATTAGGGAAAGTTTTTGTCTGGGTGAAAACAATTACCCGAGGATTTTGAAAAGAAGCTTTGATTTTGGAACATGTCACCGACAGAATCGTAATTTTACTTAATAGTAAAGTAGAGGACAGCAGGAGGGATCAAAGAGGAAGAAAGGTTGAAGCAATTTCAAACTTCACACCCTCTTTTACTTGATATATAACTTTGTGACCGACCCCAAAAAAATTAGATGGAGAAAAAAGTAACAGAGAGAGAGGAGCTAGTAAAGAATAGAAGACTTAGTAGTGCACTTCACACATCCTTCACTTCAAAACGATGTGAACGAGATTAAAACAGAGAGCCGACAAATGATAGGCGGCTCTTCTGTGAGTGACTGTGGCAGAAAAACATGAAGTCCATGGTGATAAAGCCCCTTTTATCGTCGGACTAATATCGGTGATGGTCTGGTCGCTGTTCTAGATGGTCACTTATCGCGTGTCTTTTAGCTTCACCGTCATCTGCACCTGGAATCTGATGAACTGTTTTGGTTGGAGATCCAACTAAAATCCTCTCGTTGAGAGTAGAAAAGAAGAATGGGAAACGGAGATAAGACAAAAGGCAAAGAGATCAATGACAGCCATCATTTGTACCTCTCTCGGTGATAAGTAACGTTTGAGCTCTCTCTACTTTATGCCTCCGGTTCGTGTCCAAGTAGTTTTTTTGCCTGGAGCTTTAATAATTTATATGTGGATGGTCTTCCTAACAGTTTATTTTGTGGTCTTTGTGTTTATAAAATAAAATTGCTTGTATGCATGCTCTATTTATTATTTATTATTTTATACAAAATTTTTCAAATAAAATGTTTTTATAATAATAAAAATAACAATAAATATTCCAAAAATTTGTAAATAATAAAAAATATTTTTTATTTTAAATATTGTTTCATTATTATACATATATAAACAAGTAATAAAAATCGATTATTATTTAAATATTAAATTTTAATAAAATATTTATAAAATATGAAATTTATTTAAAATTAATTACAATAATAATGCGAAATGTGTTAGTTCACAAAAACGCATTTCGCATATCTTATAATGATTGCTTATAATATTTTATTGCTTTTAAGATAAAAATAACTTATGCTGATTAATTAATTAATTATCATTAATAATGAATAATTATGATTCATTTTTAAAATGTGTATATATTTGCATCAGGTAATCGAGACAATGCGAAATTTCCAGTCATGATGTACATACATGGTGAATCATATGAATGGAATTCAGGCAATCCATATGATGGAAGTGTTTTGGCTAGTTTTGGAAATGCCGTTGTGATTACCATCAATTATCGCCTTGGTGTTCTTGGTAAGTATTTTGTTTTATAAAATAATAAAATTTCATATTATATAAATTCAAAAAAAAATTTTAATTTCTACTCCATTATCTTTAGCTTACATTTACAGTGTTATTTTTATATTGATTCTTTTAACAATAATTAAATTTATTAACGTTAAACATAATTTACAAAAGATAATTTCAAATTTTTAAGTAATTTTTATTAAATTTATTTATTTTTGCTTTTATAAAGAATAGATGTTTATAGTAATTTCATTAAAATTTTAACAAATATTAATGTAATTTTTATTAGTTTTATAATAGAAAAAGTTAAAAATAAAAATTCAAGTAGTTTCAAAAAATAAAATCAAATAAAATGTTAAAATAAGATATGGATATAATGGAAAAATGCATAAATTTATAAATGCAAATTATAATAATTTGACGATTTCGTTGAATTATTTGAGAATCTAAATGTAAGAATTGGAAATTCATGAAACTTGGAAATTAATCTCTGGGTGTGGTGTTTATTAGATCAAGATTCTATTTGTGCTAGAGATATATAACGAAAGACGTTCAAATAAAAGTTGTATGATGCTTAAACTTTTAAAGCTTCATAGAATATAAAGGATGATACGTAAATCATGAGGGATTTAGAATAAATTTTAATAAAGAAATTGCAAATACAGTTGTATTAAACGGCATGAATTTAAAACGATACTCAGATTTATTAATAAAATAAATTTAAGAAATAATTTAATGAATGCAATTAAATGAATTAATGATAAAATTTCGATGTGAATAAAAGGAAAATTAAACTTTAAATCCTCTAATGAATCTGCATCTGTAAATAAATATGGTTAACTGAAAAGTTACAAAATTTAAATAAATTTAACAAAGTAGACAATAAATAGATGTCTTCTTAAAATTACAACATAAGAAAACACCTACGTATTGTCTACTTTACTAAATTTATTTCTGACACTTTTTATCAAATGGTTAACTGATAATAACTATTAAGTATTTATAAAAAATTAGAGAAAATAGATATTCATGTATATATATATGAATATCTATTTTCTTTAATTTTTTTATATATTACAATATATATATATAGTAACTATTATTAATGGAAATTTTATAAAAAATTAACGAGCAGATATCCTTAAACATATTTTATTCGTTTTTTAAATATTTTTTCAAAATATTTCGAATGCTTTAACTTCTATTAAGTTTTATAATTAAAATTTTAACACATAATAAATATATTTTTAATTTTTTTAACATTGATTTACCTAATTTGTCTTCTATTTTCTATATTTCTATGAATACATCTCTTATCATCATTTATTATCAAAATTGTTTATTATGTATTACTAGCTAAATTTCTTTTATTCTATCAATTTATAGGAATTTAATTAATTATTTTTTTACTTTTTTTTATTAATTAATATAAAATATTTTAGAGGAATGCCAAGAACTTTTTCTTTTTTTTATTAAAAAGTAATATGTTAATAAAATCTATTACTTTCGTCGTAAAAAACAGCTAAAATTTATCTCTACAATATTAATAATAAATAAGTTAGAATTAATTATAATTTTCTTAAAGCGTGTAGAATTTGAAACAAAAATTTAAAATTAAATAAATTTAATATCGCATCTGTTATCTTTAATAAAACTTATATGCTTTAATATAGCTCATTGATTAGGGGGTCCATCCAAGAATAATTGGATTTACCTCTAATACCATATCCGGAACATTATCCATGTTTATTACATCAGTTTTAGATACGAGGAATACTAAATAGCCTGCTGCTTAATAAGGCTAATTTCTTTTAAAATTAATTAATGGATATTGTATTAAAGATCGATGAAATTTTGTTACAATGATTAATTATCAAAAATAATCGATTTAAAGTTACATCTAGGATAATTAGTAATAAGATTATTCTCTTAAATTTTTTCTGTTAATAATATTATACTAGTTGCTAAAATTTAGGATCAATACTTTAAAAAAAAATTAACAAACTTTCTATATATTTATATACAAAGTGTACTGTAAGTTATGCATAATGATATCAGGAACACAGTAACTTACAAGGTGACCTAAGTGATGTAGTTGCTACTGAAAAGTTTATTACTAAATTCAAGATTGTAATCACTGAATATATTGTAGGCAACAAAACAGCAATACGTTATAAAAGTTTTGGTTAAGGAAAGCTGTGATATTAGTTAAAATTTACAAGATCTTATCTGTCAGAAGGCATATTTATAGCTAATTCGTATGCATATATCCAAAGTAATAATTAATTAACTTCTTTGTTTTTATATAAAATCAATTAAACTATTACATATATTCAAGAAGGTTTTTACTTGAAATTTTACATAAATATGTATGATTATACGAAGTAAAACTCTTTTAAATTATTTTTCATAAAGTCTAATATTTTACGAGCAATTATTTATTGTGATATTGTCACAATTCCGGGCTATAGTTTTTAATCATATTTTTAATTTATTTAATTTAAAATATATCTCTTTACTTGAAATGAGTAGTGGTTTGCACCTATACATCATACTTTTTCTCTTGACAATAGAATTGTGCCGGTTATCTAACAACTTTCAGGGAAAATTATTTGAATTGAAATAACATGACTTCTGGTGTGCATCGAGATATCATATATATATATATATATAGTTAATCAGGGCCATTAAGGAAAGGCGGACAGACGGACGGACGAATGACAGTGGGAATTTATAGGTCTACAATTTTTTCAAATAAGGGATGATTGATTTAAAATAAGTTTAATTAATAAGATTAAGATGATAGATTTAAGTTAATCATTAAATAAATTGTTTGTAATATTTAATACAAACAAAATAACATTTCATTAATTATAATGTAAATTAGTATACTTAAATTACCACGAAATTGTACAAAATAATAAAATACGGTATTTTTGCTTAAAAATTATTCTACAGTTTCACAGTATTAATGTTGATATTTAAATTGCAATTAATATCCTAAATTAATTGTATATAATACAAAGGAGTTTTAGAAAAAGCAAGCAATTTCCTGTAAGTTAGCGATAGACTACAAGAATTAGTAAATTAAAGTGTAAAATTAGGCTAAAATCCATTGGTAATTATCTTCCTCAGATATTTATCTATATTAATCGATTATGCTCTTATATATTCGTGGTACATTCAAAAAGTTTTGAGGCTGATGCAGTATTGCCAAATGTATTGATATGAAAACATTTTAAGCAGCCAAAATCATACACTTCTGCCAATTCTGGTACAATTGTTCAAAACATTTTTGGAACTTTTTTTTTGGCGTTCCATATCATCTTTTGCATCATCTTCACTGCAGAAACGTTGTTCCTTTAGAAGTGCCTTCATTTTTGAGGAAAGATAACAAGATGCTAAGTCAGACATATATGCAGGGTGCAGGAGCAATGTTACATCCATTTTGGCCATACAACTTTGTAATCTACCGTCCCTATTTGTCTGACCTCGAACCTTACTATTTTTACCTTCTTTCCAAAGAGGAAAGAATTATTAAGGGAGCAATGTTTTGATGATAAAGATGCTGTGGAAGAACAGGTCTCCAAAAAACCAGTTTCTAAAATGTTTCGAACAATTGTACGAAAGTTGGAAGAAGTGTCTAGCTGAGGATGAACAGTACTTTGAAGGGGCTGTGTTTAAAATGACACAATTTTTTTCATTTATCATTTTAAGGAATACTCATAATTTCATTTATTCTTTGCATATTTCTTTTATTAGTTAATGCGCAATATATTAAAAAATAGCATGTTTTTTTCAATAAAAAAATGTAATAAATGATCGAAGCTCATGTCCAGCCTGAAGAATAAATATAAGTACTTTAAGGCATCCATTAAATTCACCATCTGTATTATGACTGCCGACTTTTGAAAAACTCTAGGGATTAAGATTTTCAAAATGTCCGATATAGCTTCAACCTTATAAACATTTATCATCTTTTTAAGTATCTTAAAATATATATAAGAGATATAGATATATATTTTTATGTTTATACGTTTTATAAAGAATTAAATGTTTGAAGATGAAAGAGAACTTGCAAATTTTAAATATTTTAAGATAAAATAATAATAATAAAAATATGGTAGCAAATATAGCAAAGAAAAAACCTTTTACGGAATCAAATATTAATAGTTATGCTTAAATGTTGACTAATATTCAAAGCAAAACATCATATATTTTTGTTTGATATTTAACAGAAATAATTTATAAAAAAATTAAAACAAAAAAACAATTTTTAAGGAGCTGAGACATGAAATTTTGATAGAGATTTTAAAAGGACAATTATTATTGAGACTTTTAACCGTAAGCCATTTTAACGACGGATCCCGGAATTATATGGGTTAAAATTTACAAATTATTAAAGAGACTAACGACGACGCCATGCTTCGTCTGTGTTTGCACCACAGCAAAATAATAATGATTACCTCGTAATATCATCACCATCATCAAGCTTACTGTAACAAATTTTAAGGTAGGTTTAGCTTAAATTGTTAATTGAGAGTTTGTTCATAGCGATAAATAGAGAAACAAATAGCCTAATTAGTTATCTTGATCATTTAGTACTGAGAAATAAACGACACGAATACGTTGAGTTCTTTGTTGTTTATAAAATCAGTGACTATTATTTTTATTAAGTAATTTTAATTAATTTATAATCAAGTATACAGTATTTTATTCTGTCTAAGAACACCATTTCAAAATTAGGAATTTCAGTTTTTTTCTTAGTGCCGAAACTACTTACAAGTTAAAAATTTATCCTCAGTAATGTGTGATTAAATTTAAGATTTTTATTTTAAAAAAGTGAGAAATGTGATATTTTTTAAAAAAAACTTTGAAAATAGAATCTCTTTATTAATAAAGAAACAATAAATTTATTATATTAAAATAAGAAATTAATATAAAATACGTTAACAAGTTATAAGTAAAATTTTTATCAGTGGGATTTTTCTCTTAAATGTCGTCTTAAGATAAATTTAAATTAAAAAATAAATTTATTTATAAGCATTAAATGTTAAAATTGATATAGTATTAATTTTATGAATGATTTTCAACAAAATAGCGTTATATTTTTGATAAAACTTGATACTCATTCATTCAAACTGGAACATTTCGGAAGAGGCGTTAAAATCATACTCCGATTTTCATGCTCTCTTACCTTACTCTAAACTAGTTCATGTGAGAAAACTTCAGAGATAGTGACATATTAAAGAGGCTATTTCCGTAGAATTACCGCAATGTACCGCAGCTTATATTTTGTACACGATGACGTCAAGAAGACAGCAAGTGAAATAAATTTTATGGCTATAAATATTNTCAATTAAGAAATGTTTTACTAAGTTATTATAAGACTATAATCAATAAACTATTTCTATAACTTATCATCTTAATCAGATAATTTAATATTGATTCTAGAAGTTATATAATTTATCGAAAATTCGAAATTTTATTAAAGTATTTTTCACTTTTAATCATACATAATGTATAATTACATGTTTTAATCACATTACATTAATAAATAGATATTTTATTAAATTAAAATTTACACTTATGTTTTTGAAAAATGAAAGTTTTCTCATTAGAGTAATTTAATAATTATAAATTTAATTATATTAAAAATATTTCATATTAAATACGATTAATATTTTAAATTCTTTTAATATAAGTTTTATCGTCTTTCACTACATTATAAATTTTATACCTATTATTCTTCATTCTTATATTTTGCTTCCTCTCATGATCTTTGTTATAAGACATTATTGTCAAACAGAGATTTTGTCTGTCGTAAAAGGATATGAATATAAAAAGCAAAAACATTTATGTAATGGGTTAAAGTTTCTTTAATATATTTTAATAGTATGTGATCTTTTTAAATTAGACTATTTATTATTGAAAATTATCAAACATCTTTCTTAAATTATGTTTATAAAATCAGATTGTGTAGTTGCTTAATTAATTGATTTTATCTTTATGTGGCTTTCAGGCTAGACATATATTGCTCTTATGTATCTATAACTGATTTCGCGGAAGTTTGATAGCACCTTTAATTAACACTTTTATCTTACACAAGTACTCTCAACTTACTCCAATAAAATCTTTCTAGGAATTTCTCTTCTGTTCTTCACTTACATTCGTCAATATCTTTTATCTAACTTTTCTCGAGTTTTCCTTATTCATTTATTGTTTCTATTTTATCAGAAATCATAACTAATTTACTTTTATAATCTATTTTAATCTTTAAAAGCTATTTACATAAGTAATACAGTAGAGCGTCGATTATCCGAATCAATTGGGGACTGGGGTTGTTCGGAAGATCGATGTTTCGGATAACCGATTATGTACGAAAAAATATATTAATTTATCCCATCCCATTTTTCTCCGTAGCGTATCGCTTTGCGTTGAATTTTTGTCGATGTTAAGCCTAACGAAGACTATTGTATCGTTAAAAATTATTTTATTTTATTTTATACGAACAAAATAAATATATTGAAAAATATAAAAACAATAAAAAATTATACTTCAGAAGTTAATTTAGTATCAAAAACGTAAAATATTTGAGTAGCCCAAGACATAGCCAAAGATTGCAG